CTCTGTCTCAAAAAAAAAAAAAAAAAAAAGAAAGAAAGAAAGAAAAAACTACCCAGGCATGGTGACAGCCGCCTGTACTCCTGGCTACTAGGGAGGCTGAGAGAGGAGGATTGCTTGAGCCCAAGAGTTTAAGGTTGCTGTGAGCTATAGATGATGCTACAGCACTCAACCTGGGAACAGAGTGAGACTTTGTCTAAAAAAAAAAAGACATCACAGTAAAGCAAGTCTATTTGGAAGAGTTTAAGGATTGTTTTTCTCCCACTAATATCACTCTAAAATAATTCCAGGGACTTTAATTGCATGAATGTGGTTGAATTAAAAGATACTCAGTCAGAACTCAATTCCATACTAGGTGTTTTCAATTCCTGTGATAGAATTTCTCAAATAACTTTCTTGGTGTCATTTCTTATTTTTGTAGCAGAGGGATACCATGCAAGATAACCTGATAAAGCTTCAGCAGGAAATGGCCGAATTGGAAGCTGTATTAGAGCAGCATGGGAGCCAGCCTTCTGACAGCTCTCCTTGCCTCATAGCTGACTCTTACGACCCTGAGGACCCGCTAAATCTGGGAAAAAACACATCAGAAAAAGGTTTGTATTATAGGCCAAACACTATTATTTCTCTCTCTCTCTTCTTCTGTTATTTTTTATTTATTTATTTTTTTTTTTTTGGAGACAGTCTCACTTTGTCGCCCTTGGTAAAGTGCTATAGTGTCAGAGTTCACAGCAACCTCAAACTCTTAGATGCAAGAGATCCTCTTACCTCAGCCTCCCTAGTAGCTGGGAATATAGCTGCCCTCCACAACACCTGCCTATTTTTAGAGATGGGTTCTGACTCTTGTTCAGGCTAGTCTCGAACTCCTAAGCTCAAACAATCCACCTGCCTTGGCCTCCCAGAGTGCTAGGATTACAGGCATGAGCCACCACATCTGACCCCCAACCACTATTATGTTTAGCAAAATTCTTTCCTTCCCAAACCTTTATCTCTTGAAAAGTAGGGACCTAGCTCTGATTTTTTTCTTTTTTTAAGTGGCAGTCTCAGGTGACGCCTGTGGCTCAGTGGGTAGGACACTGGCCCCATATACCAAGGGTGACGGGTTAGAACCTGGCCCTGGCCAGCTAAAACAGCGGTGGCAACTGCAACAAAAATAGCTGGGTGTTGTGGCGAGCACCTGTAGTCCCAGCAACTCTGGAGGCTGAGGCAAGAGAATCACCTAAGCCTAAGAGCTGGAGGTTGCTGTGAGCTGTGACACCAGGGCACTCTACCAAGGGCCACAAAGTGAGACTCTGTCTCAAAGAAAAAAAAAGAGAGACACAGTCTCACTCTATCGCCCTTGGTAGAGTGCTGTGGCGTCACAGCTCACAGCAAACTCCAGCTCTTGCTTAGGCGATTCCCTTGCCTCAGCCTCCCAAGTAGCTGGGACCATAGGCACCCGCTACAACACCCAGCTATTTTTTGTTGCAGTTTGGCCAGGGCCAGGTTTGAACCTGCTACCTTTGGTATACAGGGCTGGCGCCCTACTCACTAAGCCACAGGCATCACCCTGACATTTTTTTTTTTAAAGATAGAGTCTTATTTTATCGCCCTCGGTAGAGTGCTGTGGCATCACAGCTGACAGCAACCTCCAACTCTTGGGCTTAGGCGATTCTCTTATCTCAGCCTCCTGAGTAGCTGAGACTACAGGCACCCGCCACATTGCTCAGCTGTTTTTTGTTGTTGTTATTGTTGCAGTTTGGCCACCCTCAGTATAGGGGCTAGTGCCCTACCCACTGAACCACAGGTGCCACCCCTGACTTTTTTTTTTTTTTTT